CCCCAAAACCCCAAAACCCCAAAACCCCAAAACCCCAAAACCCCAAAACCCCAAAAGTGTAAATTTAAATTGAAATAAATATTATGGCAAATTGTAAGCTTGTGTTCTTCCCAATGGCAATCACATTAGTCGGGTCCTAACTTCACAACCCCAGATAACACTTCTCTGACTCTAAATTTCCACTCCAAAACCCCTAATCCAACCATATAGTAAGAGATAGTAGCAAACTTGGCCATGACAGTAGGTTAAGTGATAGCCAAAATGAAGATTTAAAAATGATTGCAAAACAAATAGAGAATAAACTCATTACCACAAAAATAAGTGACCAAAACAGAACCATAATTAACAAGATTAGTAATTAAGCAGCCAGAAGGTGTAACTATTGAGGACTATTCTGGCATCCAGGATCCTTCCACTCTGGTTGACATCCCCACAGGAGTATTCCCAAGCAGTGCTCTCAATATTAAATAATGAAAATATAAAGTTCACATCGGAGCCTGGAAACACTTTCAAAACTCGTAAAAACAAGTCTGTATCTAGACGAAAAAGACGGGTGACCAAACCAAGAAAGAGAAAGGACAAACTACAGCCAGCCATCTCTCAAAACTGAAGGATCAGGACTGTAATCCAACCAAAGGTCGAAAGAAGACAAGTATCTAGTACGAATATAAACAACTGAAATTTCTCCAGAGTCGAAGACGAATTCAACGATAGAAGATGTATCCGAATTCCTTCCATATCCTGGTACATCCAGAACTGAATCCTGCCCAAGAAAAGCAGGGAGATCCAGGAGTCCATCGGAAGATACCTAAAAGACGGAGTAATTCTGTCTAAATAGCATCCTTCCCAAGAAATTTGGGCCCAAAAGAAGACCAAAAAGAGAAACTAACCATCGGAAATACAACAGTAGCTCATTCAATGTCCCAGATTTTAAGATGCCTGACAAGGAACCGAGTGAGAAGGGCTGCAACATCGAACTACAGCAGTTCAACATAGACCTGAAGCCATCTGCCATTAACATGGAATTTAACGACTTGAATCTAGAATCAGCCAAGAGAATAGTCGACCAAAGAGTAATCCCAAATGCTGGTTTTGTCAACAATGAATTTTTCAAATACAGAAAGGCAAAGTACCAGAGTAGGCTCAACACAACCGAGTAAAGATGCAAGACTTAACCTATATAGGACCAGCAATAATCAGCAAAGAGACCAAATGAAGCCATTGAGCGTTCAAACCCAATTCCGAAGTAAGCCTCATGCTCTAAATTTGATAGGTTCAAATCATATTAGAGGACACTCACAGCCTGTGGGATATACAGATAATAACATCATCAGAAAGCAAAAACAAAATGAGATAAGGTACCAGAAGATGCTCAAGGAACTTGAAGAGGAAATGGCTAAGATAGGAATCGACTCTGAGTCAGAAAATGACTTATCCCCTCCTCATACGTTCAAACCCATCGGACATTGCCGAGAAAAGGTACCTCTGAAGAAAGAAGCATTACGTAAAGTAGCCAAGAAACCTAATAAAAACGCAGGAAAGCAGGTTAGAAATAAATCAAACTTAAGGAAATGATCAAATGAAACATCTTACCAGATCAAGAATGCCTCACCAAGTAGGGTTAGCATCTAACACGTAGATTCCAAGAACAAGAGAGGCAAGCAAAATGATGCTGCTACTAATACGCACGATGAGGTTACTTTTGGGAGTGAATTAATATCATTCCATATCGGCCAAAAATCCTCGAAATATGAGAAGACATCCGAGCTCGCACTCCAAGTCAAAAATGCTGAAGCTGTTGAAGACTACTCTCACGAGCAAAATAAGCCAGAAGTAGCCCAGCCTATGAACAAAGCTAACCCAGAGATAAGACTAGGAGGTGGGTTTATGGTATCTACCTTCACCAACGTAAGCACTTGCCTAACTGTTCAGCAACCTCAACCCAAGGCTAACAACATGGAAGCTAGAAAATAAGTCAAACGACGCCTACACTCAGAAGAACAATAAATAAAGACCGACATAGCTACGATGAGAAGTACTCTAGCCGAGAAGAGACTGAGCCCGTCATGGAATCTAGATTCGCACCACGTGTCAAAGATGGAAGCCCAGATGCCAAATTCTCAGACTCAAATGGCTTCAATAAGAGTAAATACTTCATGACCAAAGACAGCAAGCAGGATGAAGTCAAGGAATATGTAGCAGTCGAAGGCAAGTCCTTTGATGGCATGGAAAGTCTGGATGACCGCTCCCTCAAAGCTGAGCCTACGAGAAGACCTATTCAGCCTGTCAGGAAAGCAGCGAAGAATCCTGAGAGTACTCGGATCGTCTCGTTTATCAATAATATTAAGCATAAGCCGCAGATAAGTAACTCAAAGCATGCTTCTTATATTGGGACTCCTAAAAGACAAAAAGAAGTTAAGAGCAACCTAGATAATCTGCCGATTTATAAAATACCAAGCAATCCTAAAGAGATTATAGGAGGGGATCAAGAGTCAGCACTTCTAGCCTCCTCATATGAGGGAGAGAACTCTCCTGCCAAATTGGAGTCAAAGCATATCAGAAAATCCAAGAACTCAAGCGAAGGAAAAGGGGTTATAAAGATCGCTCCAAACAAGAATGAAGCTGTCAAGGAGATCCAAGAGCCTATCAGTGATAAGTACCAGCCGATGTATGTCTCCCAGGTTGTGATAGGTCCATCATATGACAAGTGCTACTCCATTCCGAACTACATCCTTGCTCAAAAATAGCAAGGAAGAAAGGGATGGAAAGGAGAGCTCATTAATAAAAGATATGAAGTGAGACCCCAACTCTCAGTTTCCTCCACAAATTGATGAAACAGTCGAGAACGACACCGGTAAGTCTTAAATTCATTATTTAGTCCAAATGGATGCCTGCGGAGTGGGTGCCATACAAAGCGAAGAGGAAATTGAGAGCCAAGATATTCAAGAAAAGGGTAAAAATGATCATTAATACTCCTAGGTATTCGAATGCGGAAGTCAAACGATACCTCAGAGATAATCAAAAGAGATAAGATCCAAACAGCCAACAACGGTATCTAATTTGGATTAATCCATAGCCTATGCTGTCAACAATGGCATCCTCGTCAGATCATCTGAGTCGATGGGAAACACTAGGAAAAAACACCCATCCATAATCTACAACGAAAGTGTCATGAAGATCGAAATCGGCAACAAAAACAGCCAAGAATACATTGAATTGTCCGAGCCTGAAAACCCAGAATACGCTAATGCAATGAGAAACCTGTATAAATTACAAAGTATGAGCAGTAGCGATGGATTTTACAGAATGGGATTTGAATACAGACCTCTCAGCTCAGGATATATATCAAAGTCTCATCTCCCAATGATGCATAAGGTTGAGCTCAAATTTGAGGATGAACAGAAAGTAAGCCAGATGCTTTAAAATAGAACGTACAATCTATCAAAAGGAACAAGTTTAATGCCCTTCAAGCTAATAAAAATGACCATTTGTTTAACAAAGACATTAAAAACAAAATGATCGTGTGGGATGCTGGCAAAAAGAAATGGACATCGACCGGAGCTAGAGATCTGACTCCTAACAGCCCCCTCTCAGATAATCAAAGGTAATTTAAATTCACTACATCTAGAGATAGGATACCTGGAAGACCAATGATAAAAGTCTCAGAGAACATACCTGCTCCTGTTCAGAAGATAGACTCGATATCCTCTGAAGATGCTTATAACCTATATTCTTCATTCTACAAAAACTTGGCCATGAACAATGAAGGAACTGAAGACAAAGAAATATCAGCCAATGGCCCAGGCACTAAAAGCACTATTGAAGAGAAAGAAGAGGTTATCCCTGTGCCTCAGTTCCCTCCTGATATGGATCCTGAGGAAATAACGACTGCTTTCCTATACGATCTTGTCAATAGAGTGAACCACCTACCTGTGACTAACAAGAAGCCAATGATTAGTAAGTTAATGCAATAAATATATAGAATCTAGTAGAGCAGGCCATCGATTGTCTAACAACACTACAAGAAGAGTGCATCTTAGCCAGCCTAGGGCTGAAGTCTCCATCGATTCGGACACAGACCAAATAAAAATTGTCCCCACAGCTGCACCTATCGAGTGCAAATTTAGTATATAGGTAGGAAAATTCGAAATGGTTCACAAAACCTTTGCTAGAAATATCATTTTCCCCTTCATGAGTGATAGACACAGACTCTTAATTTACCTATAGGCTACCAAACTTATAAACAAGACATCCCTAATGGACCAAACGTCGAGGAAATAGTAAATGATTCAGAGCTTAACCCTTCTGAACTACCAGGGAAGTAAGCTAACTTGCCTATGACTGTTCTAGAAATAATGCATATGAAGAATTTGCTAAATAAACTTGAAACCCAAGCGGTTGGCTCTCAGCAGACTAAGAAACAGGAGCCTAAAAATATCATCTCGATAGAACCGATGAAGTGAACAGTTGACCAGATTGTGCAGTCCCAAAACCCATGCATCAATAATGACGACTTGAAAATGATAACGCATAAAGAGGCTTGAGAGAGCAAGAGGATACCTCTAACAAAGCAGCCAACACCTAAGACCTATGAGCTCTCACCTGTCACAATGAAGAACAAGTATTCACCAATAAAGGAGAATAACTCAGCCAATTACTCAGTCATAAAAATGGAGTTTCTCTCCGGAAAAGACCAAACTAACCCAAATGATATGAAGCGGAACACGAAGCAGAACATTTCCCTTGACTCTAAAAGTACTTGGCATGTCTAACAGTTTAGAGAGGAAGACCAAGCAAGGACCAAGGAGGTTCAGAAGAAGAGATATTCGGACTAGAGAAGCTACCTCCAATAGTAAAAATAAATTTAATCTATAATCTTCAATACTCATGGCCTCTGATGGGGTTTTGGGGTTTTGGGGTTTTGGGGTTTTGGGGTTTTGGGGTTTTGGGG